CAATAAATAATTTTAACATATTCTCGAACTATAAGTCTCCTGGTAATCAGGCCGCTCCTTATAAACAAGAAATAAGTAAAATTAATTACCTTGATGGATAGCTTTATAATAAAATATCTTATATTTTATTATTTAAGAACTCAAATTTTAGTAAGAGGAATTGTTACTAAAATAATTTTTAATAATATGAAGATCAAATCTTTTATAGCATGTGAATTTAGTTCAAGTTGTCTACATGCTTAGTCCTAAATTGATTTACATCACATGAAATAAATAATTCAAAATTATGTAATGAACAAGCACGTGACATAAAAATAAAATTCAACATTCTTCTAACATGTTTAATCTATATATCACATATATCACAAAAAAGTAATTCATGCCAGAATATCATTATTAATTAACATCTCATGAACTAATAACAATTAAAAATAACAATAGAATCATGTAACCGATTATAGATTCCCATCGTATCTAATACATAATTTCAAATTCAAGTTATGAACTATCTCAATAGCTATATGAATACATATTTTATCTACAATAAAATAATATCAACATTCAAACGATTTGACTATCACACAAGACACATGTATTATGGTTTGAACTCTTCAAATATAATATTAAAATATTTCGTAAATAAATTTTAGACACAATAAACCACTGCTCTGATCCACTATAGGATTGCGTATAGGTGTTCGTAACACGTAGCGCAAGACAATAACAATCCTAGGCAGATCTTTTCGTGTTTAAAATCTATTTACATGTCAAAGATCGGATCTAAGACGTACCTGGTGAAAAGAGTCTCGTTTCAAATTTCTTCGATAGTGCGAAGACTCTATGCGTATCCAGACCGAGACCGATCCTTGCTATCAACTCTTTGATCAACGAAACCCGCGAACAAATTGAACGGAAAACTTGTGATGAAATTTTTCTCAAAAATCTCAACTCAAATTAGAAGAACAAGAAATACTTTTCTTGTAATTGTATTTTCTCTCTTGGCTTTGTATTGCACTCTCACTTTCACAAAGTATTTTTCTTCTCAAGAATTAATAATCGAAGTCGCACGACAAGAACTGTTCTTGTATGTTTTTCTCTTAATTTTGTGGCTTCTTAAAAGTACTATTTTTTCACCGTGGCCTCTTAACCCTTAGTGATGTATTTATATATCACTTAAGCCAACAATATCTTTCATTAGGTTAAGGAAAAATATAAACGTGATTTACTTCTTTTACAAGTTCATTCCAAAATTGAACTTTGTAAAACTTTTTCTATTAGAAAACTAAATCACATTCCATACAGGAATAGAAGCCACGCCCTTTATGGACCTTTTAATTCAATCCAAATTGAATATTACAAATCACATTCTTAATAAGATGTACGTGATTGAAATAAGCCGACAAGTCCTTTTGGACTTTTACGTTAATCCAATTACAAAATTAAATTGATATTATATACAACTTTTATATAATTAATATCAATTAATATTATATATATCCCATATATATTACAACCAAGAGATATAATTTAATTTTCTATTCCAAATAGAAAACTTCAATTTGTTCACAATATTAACTATATCCTTTGTGCTAGCAATGAATATAATAATATTTCACTTAGACTAATAACTAAATTTATTTGACTAATTAAATTCCTTAATTTAATTATCAAATAATAAGTTAATTAATCCTTTAGCAAAGATCAGAACACTCGTTAGTGTGCGACCCCATAGGTTCAATACTAAGCCGGTAGTAAATTGACCACATCAATATACTAATCAAGGGTGGCGTCTAGCAACACTCCTTAACGACCGGATAGCATGAAGTATACAATTTACTCTCAAGAACCAGTAGAAGAATAATGTAGTAATTCCTTCTGTCCTTATAGCTCTGGATCACCCTAGGATATGGTTCAACTGTCAAATCCTAATAGGCGACCAACTATGTGTTCATGTCAAATATAATCGATCATTGAATGACCTAAGAAACTCATTTCTTCTTTCATTCAATTGCCCTGGCCAAGGTCTTAGTTTGGTCGTTTATAATTCATGACAACATGGAGCTTAAACTCATTACCAAGAGTTGACAGATTCCATCTTGATCAATCACTAATTCTACAAGCATTTAATCGTACCCAATATCCTTTCAACTATCGCCCTAGGGCCATAGGTGTCTAGTATCAAAGCACAATAAATAACTTGTCAATTACTATGACGATCTCAGGTCAAAGGAAACGGTTACATCACATTCTTCAAGAGAATATCCTATTGACAGTTTATGGTAATTCTAACCATTAGGAATTATCCAATGAGTCGGTTCAATGATCATATCTCTATATGCATCATCTATCTATGTGATTTAGTTAATGAGATCAACTAATCTTTATCCAATAAAGACGATCACATAAATATTGATCTAACCGGATTACTAATGTCCAAATTAATAATCCTACGATCAAGAACAAATTTAGATTAAATTGTAAGAGACTTTGCTCTCATTATCATGATCTCTATCACGATGACAAATCTCAAAATTTAATCAAGGACCTTATCAAATTAATCAAATAATTAATAATAACTATGATATATAAAAGAATATCAAATGCCATATATTTTTATATCAAATAACATTCACAAAAATATGTTCAAATCATCAAATATGAGATTGGATCTAAGACATATCTACTATATCCCTAACAGTATGTGCAGTGTCAAAACCCCCTGTAAATACAAATTTCAAATGCCAAATGAACTTGCAGTCAGCAATCAATACTTGAATAAAGGTGTAATAACTTTCATATCAACAAAACTTGAGGTGACGAAACAGTTGCTTACCCAAGTAAACTTGTTTCCCACCATCCCTGCAAAGTCCATACAAAAATTGCTGAGAGTCACAATAAAACATTCATGAGTTGCTTTCCAAACTTAAAAATGAAACCATCTCATTAGTACTAGCTGCTAGTTAATTAGAACTAATAATCCCAAGAAACAACTGCTATATATTATAAACAGTTAATTAATATTTCCAAGCAACCTCGCTTACGTGTTAGCATAAGTTCACTATGTTAGAGGACGATGAAGGAACACTAATTCTATCCAGTTTTAAGCATGGATAAGCAGGGTTGTGGTGGGTTGACAGCTAGCATACTAAGCACGGATAAGTGAGGAGGATTGCAGTAGATATACTTTACACCAATCGGTATAATTTAACATGTGATAGCAGGTTACTTACTATTTATTCTAGGTTACCAATCAATCTATTAAGTAAAATTACCTATAATTACACCAGATTGAATATTTACACAGAATTTAAACTAGTATAAAAGTAATTAGACCGTGAATTTATTATTAACCCACCTAACGAAATTTGAGTGTGTGTAGTTGATTGATTTTAACATTGGCATAAATCTCCCGAAAAACAACTACGAATGAAATTGAACCAAGGAGTCGCTACAGAGCTGAGAGAAAAAATACAAGAGATGATCACAAACCAGATGTGGGATTCCCATCGTCCAGTCCTACGATAGAATGTGACACCACGATATTGAGAACTCCGAGACCTGGGCCCTCTTCTACTCTTCTTCACCTGCGATCTCCCCTGTGCAGATACAACGATACTCTGCTCATTCGAAGCTCCATAATTGGCTGAGAGATCCAAGCACTGCTGTTGCGGCAACTCAGCCTCTCCACTCACCGATGGAAATAGCTCCTTTAACACAAAACCGCTACGATTCCCACTTTCTTCATATTCATCGTCACCAGCAGTACTGCTGGAGGTTTCCATGTTAACAATGGAGGAATTGGAGGTTCTTGATTCTACTGGAACATCTTCAGAACTGAGATTAAGATCAAACATATCTCAAATTCCCACTAAATTACGTCCAAATGAGCACCACAAAAAATACCAGAGAAACAAAAATGGCAGCTGGATTTGGGGGTGGGAGGGAAAGGGTAGGAAGATAAAGGAATGTAGTCAAACACACACTACAAAAAAGGCATTCCTTGTGTATGTATGTGTGTGTATATATATATATGGAGAGAGTGAAAAGAGGGGGGTGGGGGNTACAGTGGCAGTTAGGAAAACGTATTCTACGTTTGACATAATTATACTATACGGAAGAAGCAACAAGGACTTTTGTCCGTCTATAAGGAACAGGCCAAAAAAGTTTTCTAAAAGAGTGAACCTATTATTATTTGGGGAATCAAATAAAAAACATTTGACCATATTTTTTTTGCCGATAGTTTCTTAAAAATTTATTATTGTAGTCTATAGTAGTAGTTTCTAAATATATAATTTTTATTTTAAAATTTAACGAATTTATATCCAAATTCATAAGAAAAATAAATTATTTTGACTCTCGTAGTACTGAAAAGTTTCAATTAAATAACAGTGTGGCTTAGGGGCTTACTTGCTGTTATTCTCTTCTAGTAATACTTTTTACTCCCAACACGACTTTTAACCGTAGAGCGTGATCGACACTCGCAGATTATATTTTCACGCAAAATGAAACCCGATGCTCATTTTTAGGACCCGTTAGGCTATAGATTTTACCAAAATATATTTAGATTTTTCTTGGCAAATATATATTTGTTCATAAATTTTAGAAAATTTTAGCTCCTATAACAAAGCTTTATACCTTATTTATTATAAATTAATATCTTTTTAAAATATTATTTTCTTAGTAACCTTTTTGGTTTTATAGCAAAATATATATTTATGGTCACTTCCTACCGTTTAGCTATTAAATACTCTAGATAATATTTTTCTCTTTCCTACTTTCTATTCTTTCTCTCACAAAACCACCGTATAGTATACAACTTCAGAAACTACGATCTCTCTCCACCATCTCTCTCTCAACGTCAGTCTCTTCTCCATGAATACAACCACGATTCTTCGCTGATTCATCTCCATTATCTCGCGAAATTTTCAAATTTTTTTGTTCCAAAAAGTTGTGGTAAGTATTAAAGTTGTTAGATTTTCGCTAGTACATGGCTTCTTCTGTTTCTCTTTACTAATTTTTAGAAATAACCACCATTGTTATGCTTTTACCAGAAAACTCAAAATTTCATCTCTAATGGCTGATTCAACAACTCACAAGAGGGTTACCCGACATCGAAACAAGCCCAATTTGAGAAATCTTCGAAAGAATCAACACTTCCTGATGCAGAAAAGAGAAGAAAACTTATGGATGATGATTCAAGGATTAAGGGAAAAGATACTTTATTTTCATTGTATTGAATGTATCTTGCCGTCTTCAATATATTTCATTGTATTCATTGTCTTTAGTTTTTTCTACTCTTTTAATATATTCACTGTACTTAACTATATTCAATGTAATTATATAATTTCTAAGTTTCACTTTGTTTCACTGTTTTGTCCAGCAGTATGTATTCAATGTATTGTAGAATATATTCATATGTTTTTTAAATTAATATAATTTATATATTCAGATGTATATATGTATCCAAATTTGTCTGCAGTATGTATTTATATGTTTTGCACTATAGATTACCTGTTCTACTTCATATATTCAATGTATTGTATGTATTTAATTGTATTCAATGTAATTATATAATTTCAACATACAAATCTATTTGTAGTACCACTAAAAAAAAAAGGATGGATCGAATCTCTGAAGATTGCTTTGTTTTTGGGGTTTTTTTTTGGGCTAAGAATCTTTTCTATAACTGAAAATACAAATTTTGGATGTTATAATTGAGTTTGTTAGGAGTCTATCGCGTTAATTAATTCACTTACCGTTTTTAAACAGTTGAAGACCTTTTCTTTCACAGATTTCCGTCAATGTATTCACGAATACACCTCACGAATATATATGAATACAGTCTATGTTTAGCTGAACTTCCTTGTTTTCCACCGAGTTTTGCTACTGTATTCATGAATACAGTAGCTTGAATACATCGAATACACTCTATAACAAGTGAAAATGTAGCTATAGGATGTAATTAAGTAAATGGTGGCTATAGCAAGTTAATAACCACTAAACAATAGTCATTTTGGCAAATTCCCAAAACATAAAACCCAAATCCCAAAACCAGCTCAAAGCCCAAAATATTACTATTACATTTTTTTAAAAATTGCCCCAAATATTTATATTTTATAAAAGAGCTCACCATTTATTATTTTGTAATAATGCTGCTTTGTGTTCTCGGTCATCTGATAATGTATTATGTTGTTCATTATAAAAATAATAATTATGTTCAGGACTATAGTTTGCGATAATATAATGAATGTTATTGATGAAGGTACTATTGGTATTTGTGATAGTCTTAGAAATTGTGGGTATAAGTCATGTTTCATATTTTTTTTATAAACAAAGTGAAATATGTTTTGAAAACTTATGTATAAACACATTTTCATCTTCAAACCAAACTTCATCCAAATTAGATTTTTCAAAACAAATTTGGAAATCTATGATCAAACGCTAGCATAATTTCTTCAATAGTAGTATAATAACTCCAGGCTTCACTGCAGTTAATTTTCTAAAGATATTCCTATTATAATGTCATCCAATGCCAGTTGATATAAGGGCAAATCAATCAACTTTGAAACAATGATCTAAATTTGTAATCTTACGTATTTAAATGGATTTTTTAAGACAAATACGATGGACCAAAATTATTGGATTCAATCAAATTTGTGCCTTTGTCTCTTGCTCTGCCCTTGGTGCTGAATCAAACACCGCTACATTAATTAAAATGGAGGGAGTTGTATTAATTTTGCTGTAGATAATGGTGAAAGATGGTGAAGTAACTGATTCTTTTTTGTTTCTCATTCGGTATCGATATTTTTTTGTGATCTGATAAATTTAAATTCGCGCAATGGAAGACTCATTAAAGGGGAGGCACTTTCTACCCAAAAAATTCAATAATTAAAGTTTAAACCCGTATGATTAAGAGTGAATGAATTTTATTTATCATACCACAATCTTGGGTAGTAATGTGATTAGACTTTAATGATACTGAAAAGAGGGGTAAAAACGTAATTATGCCTTTGAGATAGGGCAAAAACTTACCTGCACCAGGTGTTTACATCCGACCAATAAGCAAATAACATATGTCATTTTATTTAACTACAATTATTAGTACTTAACCGTAGTTAAGTACCATATATTTTGCACATAACCTTGATTAAATATTAATATAAAAATACCCAACATCTTGAAATTTCATGTTATGTTCTAGACGGAAATGTCAAGTACATCGACAATACTGTTGTCTAGTAATGGTGAATATGATATTACCACACAAAAGGTAAACGTCTTAGTTTGTGAAAACAACAGACATGTATATTCAAAAAGATTAAAATCATACGAAAGAACTTCATCAATTGCACTTGACTTTGCAAAATTACACTATTACTAATCATATGAAGTTCTTTCGTATGAGTTTAATCTTCTTGAATATACATGTCTGTTGTTTTCACAAACTAAACCATTTACCTTTTGTGTGATAATAGCATATTCACCATTAGTAGACAACAATACCGTTGATGTACTTGACATTTCCGTCTAGAACATAACATGAAATTTCAAGATGTTAGGTATTTTTATATTAATATTTAATCAAGGTTATATGCAAAATATACGGTACTTAACTACGGTTAAGTACTAATAATTGCAGTTAAATAAAATAACATATGTTATGTGATGACCCGGCCGGTCGTCTTAAGAACTAACGCCCCGAATCCCTATTAACTACTTTTCCCAAGTTTATTTTTGCTATTTCGATTTGCCGGGATGTTCGGTTTTGAGTTTCGAAGAGTTTGGGACACTTAGTCCCTAAAAATAAGAGCTTGAGTCTTGGAAAGTTTACCATAGTCGGAACAGTGTGAAGACGGCCTCAGAATCGAAATCAGATGGTTCTGTTAGCTCCATTAGATAATTTCGGGGTTAGGAGCGTAATCGGATTGTGGTTTGGAGGTCCGTAGCTAAATTAGGCTTGAAATGCCGGAAGTTGAATTTTTGAAGTTTCCGGTCCGATAGTGAAATTTTGATCCGAGGGTCGGACTAAAATTCCGGAAGTTGGAGTAGCTCCGTAGTGTTGAATGTGACGTGTGTGCAAAATTTTAGGTCATTCGGACGAGGTTTGATAGACTTTTTGATCGAAAGTGTATTTTGAGAAATTTGGAGTTCTTAGGCTTAAATCCTTGGTTAATTCGAGGTTTCGATGTTGTTTTAGGTGTTTTAAGGATTGATACAAGTTTGAATAAGGTATTAGGTGATGTTTGTGCTTTTGGTTTAGGTCCCGGGGGCCTCGGAGTGATTTCAAATGGTTAATGGGAAGTTTGAGGCTTGTTGTAGCTGCTATATTTTTACTGCTTCTGGTATTTCTGCACCTGCGATTTGGGGACCGCAGGTGCGGCACCGCATAAGCGGCTCAGTGACCATAGAAGCGGAATTTGGGGAGTGCATCAGGAATTGCAGAAGTGGTGCAATTACCGTAGAAGCGGTACCGCATCTGCGGACTGGGAGTCGCAGATGCGGAATCTGGCCTTAAGTAGGAAGTCGCAGATGCGACATTTTTTCCGCAGAAGCGGGACCGTAGGACCGCAGATACGGAAACTGCTGGGTATTATTTTAAAAGGGTTTCCCCGACTTGGGGGGTTATTTCCACCATTTCTAATCGTTTTTGGAGATCTTTGATGGGGATAGAAGAAGGATTCGAGTGGAATCACTTGGAGGTAACATCTTTGACTTCATAACTCGTTTCTATGTGATTATGGACCTAATTAGTGATGAAATATTTGGGAAAAAATGGGTAATTAGGGCTTGAATTTAAGAGGCTTTTAAATGAGGATTTGAGGGGTCATTTGGACTCCGAATTCAGTGTTCTTGTTATGTACAGACTCGTGAGAGTACGAGGTCTTTGAAAATGTAAATTTTACCGGATTTCGAGATGTGGGCCCGAGGGATGTTTTGGTCATTTTACATAATTTCGCGTATTAGCTTAGACTTTAATTGTAGAATCAGTTACTTGAAGTGTTATTTACATTAT